CCTTTGGAGGTCCTTTCCAGCCCAGGCGTTCTGTGGTTCTGTGATTCTAAAGTAGAGCCAGCCTGGTGACCTGGAGCTGCTCACCTCCTTTGGTTAGCTGTGTGCAAAGGCTGGTGCAGGGAGGCTGACTCATTACCTGTCTGTGCTAGATATAGTGGATCTGGGCATGTGACTCCATTTCTGATAGGCAGGAGAGATTGTAGTCTGTTAGGTGACAATTAAAAAAATTGCTTTATTTGCTGTCGGAGTTCTTCAGAGTTGGTGAGTTGACTTAAATTGTTTTTCAGCTTTGTGCTTCGATAGGGGACGAGTAGGTGGTTGTGATTGTCACTCTTCAGTTGAATCTGTTGGTGTTAAAGATATGTGAAAGGTATGTGATGAAAATACTGCTTGAAATCGGAGTTTTTTACCCTTCTTTGAGAAATCCCAGGTTTGAACCTATTCTAGTTCCACGTGGCTCCTTCCAGGACTCAGTTATACCTGTGTGGGCAACTAGCACCCGGGTACTAATAACCGAGTGCTCACAAGGCCCTCGTTACTCTCCAGATCAAAGGAGAAGATCCTGAAGAAAGTTATAACATGACTGGTGTGGTCATGGTGGTAATTTGCAAAGATGATGTTGAAATAATGTTGTTAATGGTATTGTATGGTACACAGGCACTTGCTTTTATTATATGAGTATTCAGCCTACAGATTTTGAATAAGTGGTCATTAATGTGTAACACCCAGCTTGTCTAAATAGCGCAAAGCCATTGTCTTCTCTAGTTTAATTTTCAGAAGCATTGTTTAGTAAACACAGTAATATGGATTTTTTTTTTTCCCACACTTACAAAGGGTGAACAAAATGTTAATTACTTCTTTTAGGAGAATTACTGAAGTTTGGATTGCTATCTTGATACTGCAATAAGTGGCAATGTCAAGGGTTCCCACCCCACCTCCTCCTGGAGAGATGTCCAGTGGACCTGTGGCTGAAAGCTGGTGTTACACACAGGTAATGATAAATTGCAATGGATTTATTTTCCAGTTGTAATTATAATTTTAAAAAAACCCAAACCCTGAAATTGTTGTGTTGTGCTGACAGTCACAGTCGAAGTAGTTCTCATAGTTAATGCTTGATAGACGAGTTAAAACTTATTGACTTTTTTCACATCTTTTGTTCAGGTTAAAGTAGTAAAATTTTCCTATATGTGGACCATTAATAACTTCAGTTTTTGCCGAGAAGAAATGGGTGAAGTTCTAAAGAGTTCTACCTTTTCATCAGGGCCAAATGACAAAATGAAGTGGTAAGGTCCTTATTCTAGCAACTGCTTTTTCTTTTTTTATTTGGAAAAGTTGCAAAGTTGAAATAAGTATTAAAATTTGGATGCCTTATGAACTTTTACTGTAGGTATAGAGTGGTTCTAGTTTCAAAGTTTTAGTAGTCACAAGGGGAAAAAAAAAATGTTTGAGTAGCATGTTGTGTTATAGCTTATAGAATTATTTCTGAACTTATTCTGTCTACAGTTTAAAAATGTACAATTTTGGCATTTATTTCAGGTGCCTGCGAGTGAATCCAAAGGGATTAGATGATGAAAGCAAAGACTACCTGTCATTATATTTGCTTTTAGTCAGTTGTCCAAAAAGTGAAGTCAGAGCAAAATTCAAATTTTCCCTGCTGAATGCTAAAAGAGAAGAAACAAAAGCAATGGGTAAGGGAATCTTAATGTATTGTATGTGAATTTGTAAGAACATACCAAAGAAAATCAGTGTTGTATTTTTTCAGCTGAGAACAGAATTTAATATTGAGATAAACTTTAAAATATCTTTTTTCGTTTTCTTTTAGAAACTTAATTAAAAATCTTTGCGTTTCACACATTTCTGATCACTGAGCTGTTAATCCCATCCTGAGCAGTATAAATCACAGAGTGTTACTAACTGCCGTGGTTCCACATTCTTGTCACTTAGCTTCTCTAGCAGATTATTTTTGCTCTCTATTAGTAGGGATGTTTGCTTGTTTCTAGATATGGTGGAACTAAATGTTTGCATTTCCATAGTTAATTAGGATAAACATGCCTGGTTGTTTTTTTAGGTACTCCTTTACAATGTGTTGGTCTGTTTCATCTGATTTACACTGTAATCAGTTTAAAAACATGAGCTGTGTACCCAAGAAATTAGAAAACTTTGAAATAATTGGTGATTTCATTTAATTACCACCTTGATATAAAAATGTATGGCTCTTGGCTTCAAATTTATAAGCGTAACCTTCACTGGAAACACTTCTGGGGAAAGCTGGAATTCTCTTGAAAATGTGTAATTTAATGCTAGTCTGCACTGCTGTTGCTCGTCCTTTATATGAAGAGTCTACTTTTCCCTTCTCCTACTCCAGGTTTTAAGAGAACTTGCAGGGTCTGTTCTGTTGCATGTTCTGAACTTCCTGGAAAAATCTAAATTCTCCAATACTCATACCCAAAAGTTCAATAAATTTTCAATAAATTTTATCTCACATAAGTTTCTCCGTATGTAACTAGGCCCACTTGTAATCTTTAATGTAAATCCACAAAACTGAGTTCAAATCTAAAAATTAAATGGTTGGACTTTTGGGGAGAAGAGTACATATATATAAAAATAATATATGTGTGCATGTATGTAATATATATGTGTATTTATATACACTAAATATATATTTCACTCAATTTATCCTATTTCACTGATAGTTGGCTTCTTCAATCTCTGCAGTCCTTCTGTTTGTAGAGCTTACATGAACAAGCTACATTTCTATACCTTTGGTGGATTGTGGCTTTTGGCTTCAGACAGTCTTCCAGTCCAGTAGTGGATTGGTGTCTGTAATTAAATGAAACTGCAGTGTGTGCATCAAAAAATGCTTTGAGATAATCCTAAGATCACAGAATTGTTGAGGTTGCAAGGGGTCTCTGGAGGTTGTCTGGTCCAAACCCACTGCTGAAAGCAGGGTCAGCTAGAACAGATCCCTTGGGACCTGTAATGCTTTCAATATGCCCAGGGATGGAGACTCCACAGCTTATCTGAATAACCTGTTCTAGTGCTGGTTGGCCAGATGCTGCCAGTCGTTTTTGCCTTGGGTGTTTATTGCTGGCTTTTGTTGCTTTGTCGTCCATCAGGAACCCAAATGCCAGTTACCTGTTGCTTCTTGATCAGTAGGTCTGTAGCAGACACTGAGCACAACATTGCTCATATTGGCCTGCCCTCTGACCCTGACTCAAACTCAGCCATTGCAAGGCAGAGCTCCACACATTCCTGTGGTTCTCAAATGAAGGGGAACTCCCTTGTGTCACCGTTCTGTGCTCCCTGAGGAGCCTGGACCAGTCCACTCCAGTCCTGTGAGCTGCCCCACTGTGTTTCAGAGGCTTAGGAGATCACAGCCCTGCAGCTGCATGCAGAACTCAGATCTCCTGGTTTTGCCATGCCATGTGCCTGTATTTATAGTCATAGCAGAGTCATTGAGTTGTCCTGATTTCCCAGAAAATGCATAAAGATTCCTTTGTAATGCCATCTTAAATGAGAGATGTGCAGTGTTGGATGGAGGGTTTTTGAGAATCTGAAGCCTGTTTGCCAAGTGCTACTTTGAATGCTAAAAATAGCAAGGTTCTAAAACCCAAATCCTGTGAATAGATGCATCTTCAGTTTCTGCAATAGTAGCTGTCCTGTATTTGGCGCTACTGGAACTATAAACATATTTTCATTTTGGGAAATTACCAACAGAAATCTTATTTCTTGGACTTGGAAACCATTTACCATCTGCTTCTGGAGATGCTCTGTTTTTATTTATGCAGCATAATGATACTCAACTTTAGATGTCCTTTGTAAATTGATAATTCATGCATAGACTGCTGCTTCAAGTGATGAAGTTGTGTATAAAATAGGTAACGAACTAACATTTTAACTTCATTAGAAGAAAATTCATTTATACTTTTATGCGGCTTTATTTTTGTGGTTTTGTATGCTTAAATTGCTACTGATTGTTTATTTTCAGAGGGTTAGCACAGGTTCTTGCCCATAACAGTAAAATCTGTGCTGCAGAATGTAGAATTGGACTGAATCTAGAGAAGAAATTTAACCTTTTTTAAAATGTGATTTTCTGATTGTTTCTCAATCAATTTCGTGAGGTTTGTTTTGAGTTTTTGGCAAGCTGGTAAAAATGTGAAAACACTAATCCAGATGCCAAAAAACCTAACCAATATTTTTAATGGCAATTTTTCTTGGCATACAGATTTAAAAATATGAACAGTATTCTATATTTGTTCTGTTGCCCTTAAAGCCCACACTGCACATCAGCAAGTGCGTTTCCCTCTGCATGGATCAGGGTGTTTTTTTCCTTTGCACATGGCAGTGGTAGTGACAGGGATGGAGACACCACCTTCCTGTTCCATCTTGGAAAACTCTTGTTGAGATTTTTTTCTTTCCCATCCTCTAGTATTGTTTCAGAAGTATTCTTGCTATCATTTTGAATGATCTTTCTATATATAATGCTTTATTTCCAAGAATAATGATTTATTCTACCTGTATTCTCCAATCTGTTCCTCAAAAAAACTTTCCCATGTTGTAGTTCCATGTAAAAGTATATGGTGATTTTTCCTGTGATTCAGTTTGTGGAGCAAGTGGCCACCTCAGAGCGAATTTGCCATGTAAAATTGCATGTATTTGTACTAGTAAGACTGTGGGAAGCCTTTTGTGGGCTGTGAATGTTAGAGCAGGAGAAAAAGGGCTGTGTGGTCACAGCAAATCTGATGGATTAAAAAAAAAATTCTCAGAACTGTGACTAAAAGGTAAATCTAAACAATATCTTTTTATGACCAAAAAATAGCTTGTTACTTGAAAGGCTTTATTTCTGTTTTGCTTTTTTAATGCTTTTACTGTATTTCAAAATAATTTCAACCTGTGAAACAAGATTTTCCATTTCAGGAAGAAGTCAAACCAGATTGTTATGACAACTGCAGAAGTGTTGTCAGAAAACATTTGCGATGACAAATTCATTGTAATGGTACTTCCCTGTGAGCAGTTTCTGTTCTGACACTGGCTTTCTTAAACATTAATTGAAAAACTCTCTGGCTGGAGACAACATCTAAGGAGATGATATGGTTTGAAATGCAAATTGTGCTCTTCTGACTTCTATCAAGTGTTTTATAAAATAATGCTATTATTAAAAAAAAGTTGTGGATTTTCTAAAAATATGATACATGATCCAAATGTGTTAAATTGGTGGGGTTTTTTTGATTCACACTTAGTCTTAATATAGAATTTAGGCATTATTATTTGCTGATGTTTGTATTTAACTTGCTTTATCTGTACCTAACTGCTTCTCCTCAGAAAGCCAAAGAGCGTATCGATTTGTGCAAGGCAAGGACTGGGGTTTTAAGAAATTCATCCGAAGAGATTTTTTACTAGATGAAGCTAATGGTCTTCTACCAGATGACAAGCTTACATTATTTTGTGAGGTGGGTATAGGTTTTTAAGTGGTAAACTTTTAAATAAAATGTTTTCTGCTCTAATAGATGTTTCTGTTGATTTAAATAGCACTGTGCTATAGAAGTTGTCTTCTGTAAACTATAAATATGGTAAACTACACATTTACTTGCTTTATTTGCACTGTATTTTGTTTTGGTGTTTTTGATACATGTATACTGAAGTGCAGAATGTCTGAATTGATCACTTCTAAACTGTTCAGCTTCTCCATGAATCTGCCAGGATTATATTAAAATTGACTGTAGAATTATTTATGCAGATGTTAGATGATATGTAGAAATACTGTTTTAATGAGGTCATTTTTATTTAAATAAGTTGTATTTGGAATTTGTGGATTGGTTTTCACTGGATAAGCAGAAGGAAATGTCTGCGTGTTGATTTGCATTATAAATAGGCAACCTAATTGTTGGGATCTATATTTCTGTAATATAACTGACTTTAAGCAATGAACAGGTCTTTGCAGTAGATTAAATACTTTTTACAGTTTTTCTGAACAAATGCAAAAATCCTATAGGACTGCTTAATGCTGAGAACTAATATTGAGAGCTCTGATTTACACTTAACTTCGTGGTGTATTATGAGTCACTTTTATAATATCAGTTAAGTTGGTAACCTAAATTGTCATATTAAAATTCAGTAAAATGCTTACTCAGTGTTAAAAATGGAAGCTAGAAAGTTGCAGTGTAAGTACAGTGTATGTTAAATATACTTGGGCTGGTTATCTTTGCTGCCATAAAGTGATTAGTGACTTAGGAGGATGATAGATGTTCTAACTGCTAATAAGTTTGCTTTGATCTGTATATTTACAGGAAATGTGTAAAATTGTCTTGGCAAGATTACAATTTAATTATGTGTCATTATGCTGTGTAGGAAGAATAATTGAAATGTGGCCCCTGAGACTAGATACTGCAAATATAGTGCATCTTATTTTCACTGAGACAAGTTAAATTAGCTGCATGATAAATTTGTTATGAATACAATTATTTGGGTGATGAAAGCAGATGTAACAAGTGTTTTGTGGTCCTGTAAAGAGACTTTTGAGTATTTTCTCATTTTAAGTTTTCCTTTTCAAGAATACTTGGATGTAAATGAACAGCTGTTAAAAATAGTGTTTGGCTTTGGAAATGGGTCACTGTCTAATTTTAGAGATAAAGTTTGTTTTAAAAAAATAAATTTAACAAATACAGAGTTTTCCAGAGAAATGTTATTTAAATTTTGATGCTTATATTTAAATGTAACTGTACCCCTACAAAACTTACCAATGTTTTAATGTGAGTGGCTTCTGTGAACTGTTTGATCTACCTTGATTACAAATACTGAAGGAAATAAAACATTTAGTTGTGTGCAGTGAGTATTAAAATAAATTTTGGCTTGGTTCAGGCTGAAGCAAAACATTGAAAATCCAAATAATTTAAAAATGTTTATTCTGATATGTTCTCTTGGCTCTTCAGCTGTTACTAGAAATAACAAGTGTTGTTCAAAGGACCTATTTCTATATACAAATCTGAAAGTTTGTCCTTTGAAAACTTAACTGTAAGTTCTAATTTCTGCTTGCCTTCCTCCGTATCTAGTTGGCAGACTGATTTACTACTACTTCAGACTATATTGCACTTGGCTTGATAAAACTTACCAGATACAGGAGGTATTTAGTAAAGGTCACCAAGTACAAACTGTGCTCTTTGGTTGGCTCTTCTTTTCTCCCTGTTGGGTTGCAGAAGGATTATTTGGTCTTTATTTGCAACAAACATATTCTTTCTGTGATGCTGGATGTTCTTAAGATCAGTTGGATATATCCTTGGATTGGAAATTGAAGGGTTATTAGGTTAAATACTTTGCAAAGTCTAGTGTTGCCACCAACAAGCAACCTATTGATTAAATACAACTTTGTAATTTTGGGTTTTTTTTTAAGCAAACTTATCTGTTTCACTTAGTTCTCACTTTCCATATAATCTGAAATTACCAAAGCCTTGCAAGTGTTTTCATTAGCTAATAAGATAGATTCTCTACAGAAATTTTTTTTCTAGCAGGTGCTTTCACAGATCTCTCACCGAGCTTAGGTTGAGAGACTAGTCTAGAGCATCACTTAGGTCCTCTTTACTGTTAGACCTCCATAGCTGCAAACCCAAGAAATGATACCCATCATCCATATTAACTGTCATCACATGGAGAACTTGTTCAAGCCCTAGTTTATACATTTTATATACTCTTACACATAAGGACATGCAGTGCCAACAGGACCTGTGCCCCTAAGGTGTATATGCCATCCAGCACTTGTGTGTTGGATGGCTTCCAAAGTACCAAAGTAAACCAGACCTTGTGGAGTACCTGGAAATCCTGGCTAGGTTGCTACTACTCTTTGAGATAGGTTGTTTGCTCTTAGTTCTAGCACCTTCTCATCATCCTGCAGTATAGTGAAGAAATACCTTCACTCTTGTGCATGATTTTTATAAACACAACTGTGAGGTGCCTGGAGTAAGAGTTTGTATCAGGTGTTGAGACAGTCACAACACTCACTTTTAGCTTAAAATGAGTTTTCAGTAGTTATGTAGGATTAACTTGATGGGATTTCAGCTTCATTTAAATAAATTAAAAAAAATATGTAATTCTAAGCATACGATCTGGATAAGTGAGATATGAAATATCAGTCCCCTGGAAGTGCTTCTATTTAGAATCTTTAAGTTTTTACTCTCTGCAGACAATACATGCCAGGGCACTCAAATGTAGGAGGCTCGAGTTAATATTTTGCTCAGGTTATATCTTAAAAGCTCATAGCAAGTTGTGTTGCTCATAGGAAATTGTTGTACAACTATCAATAGATGTTAGAAATCCTTCTAAAAGAGAAGTGTAGAAGATCAGCTCTCAGCTGACACGTAAGGAATGTGCAGATGCCCTTCCTAGGCACTGTCTGTAGCTAATGAGAGGATGCTGTGTGGACAGCTCAGATCTTGAACTTTGAGTCTCTGGAGAAGCAGAACTCTCCTTTTGGCAACAGAGGACCAGCTTTGCTGAGTTAAAACTCCACTTGTGTGTATGTATATCTCCTGAAATCACTCCATATGAAAACTGTGAAATAGAGTATGCAATAGCTCTATGGATTTTTTTCAGCTTTGCTGACTTAAAACTCCACTTGTGTGTATGTATATCTCCTGAAATCACTCCATATGAAAACTGAAATAGAGTATGCAATAGCTCTGTGGATTTTTTCAGTGTTATAAATGTACAGTCCTACTGTAGAAGAGAAATTCCAGTGCTCTGGGGTAGTTTTTTTTTTTTCTTTAAAAGGTGGAAGAATGTAAAAGAATTTCTTAGAATCACAAGAGAGGTTGGGATGAAACAGGGAATTAGGCAATGATTCAAATCCCCAAACTGCTGTTTTAATTGGATCATCCTCCTCTTCTGATCTGGAGTTTGGTTTGCAGTGCTTCGACTTTCTGTGAAGCTTAGCTGTGCTATTTTTTGCTTTATGCCAGATTTATTCCAGATGCTGTGCCTCTGGAAATCAAACCAAGCACTGATCTTAACAGAATCAGCATTTTCTCTTAATATATAATCCTAATTTTCTGTATTTGGGAGGTGCAGTGATCAGGATCTTGTAGCATGGCTCATTTCTTCTTTATGAAGGTTTTAGTCTCTCAAACAACAGAAGTAAAACCTGCTGAGCCCTTCTGTTTTTCCAGCACACTGATTAGAAGGACTTAATATGTAAAGATACCTGAAAAAAGCAAGTCAGAATGCTGCTGTTCCTGTTTCCTGCTTGTGTGAAAGACTTAAACATGGGGCTTAATAGCAATATATTCACCTCAGATACCCATATTTCACAGTTCTCAACTAGTTCTGTACTGAAATTACATTGTATGAACATGCGTTTCATGATTGAAGTTACCTACTACAGCCTATATTTCATTGACTTTTTTCTAAAAAAGTAGCTTTTAATCTTGTTGGGAAGACAATCACTCATGACTCTTGCCTCAGCTGGACACAGTAAAATGAAATAATGAAGGAGCTATGTTACTTTCACTTAGTTTGTATTATCACATTGTAAGTTAAGTATGAATTTACTGTAATTAAAATTGCGAACATCATACTATTAAAAATCTGTATGGATTTTTCTTAACAAATGTTTGTGACCTTGTGATTCTGATGATCTGTTTAGATTTTTATACTGTGTATGTTTAACAGATATGTGAAGTGTGTTGAACTGTTAATTTATCTCTGGAAGAGCATTAAGGTTTTTGATCCCGCTGGTATCCCGAGGTATATCAAGGACATGCCTGTCCTTGGTGTGTTTACTTTGGCATTTCTGTCAGGTGGTATGTGGTATTGTGCTCTTTCTTTTTGTTTTGGTTGGATAAATATGCAATGTTAGAATCTCTTAAGTAAAACCTTGTTTGTTTTATGTCCTTAAACTAATGCTTTATAGTGTGCTTTTATGTTTTTTTATGTCAAAAAACCAGTTTTTGCTTTGCAATTGCTGAACATGTAGCAATAGGTACTGTAATTTAATAATTATTGGCATTCAGTTATGAAGGAGTTGTCTTGCTGTGATTTTCTGTTAGGTAAGCGTGGTCCAAGACTCAGTAAATATATCAGGACAGTCTAATACAAACACTTTGAAGGTACCTGAATGTCGACTAGCAGAAGATTTAGGGAATCTCTGGGAAACAACAAGATTTACAGATTGCAGTTTTTATGTAGGAGGACAAGAATTCAAAGCTCATAAATCTGTCCTTGCAGGTACTTTCTACTTTTGTATTGCTATTATTTTGTAATTAAAATTGCTAAAAGTTTGAAATTTGCTTATATTTAGTATTTACTTTTCTTACTACAGCACGATCTCCAGTTTTTAATGCAATGTTTGAACATGAAATGGAGGAAAGCAAAAAGGTAAGCCTTAGTGAAAACCTCACATGTAAATGTTTGTCCATTGTGAAAAAGGGAAAAGTTGCAGAAAACTTGAAGTATGGCAAATTGAGGAAGAAAAGTGCTGCATGACAGTGCATGAGTGGAGGAGGTGATACTCCTGAACACCCTCCTGATGAGTTCTGCAAGAGTTTCTTTGTGTAGAAAGAGCAGGTAGGGCTGACTGGAGACGTTCTGTGGATTTGTTCTTTCAGGGACTTGTATCTGCCCTAGATCAGTGTGGGTTTTTTTCGCATTAGCTACTGATGTAAGTGAACTAATAATCTCTGCTCCTTTTGCATTACTTTATACCTTCACCTAAGCTGATTGGCTTGGCTAAGGTTTTGCTGTGGTGTATTAAAACACTTTATGTGGTAGCTAGGGCACATCAGGTGAATTATGACTCAGATGAAGCCCCAAGGCAGTGGAGCACTCCTTGTCATTCAGGGTTCCTGCAGGCACTTGACCTGTGTGTTTCGTATGGATAGTTACTAAATCAGCACAGAGCTGCTTCTGCTTTCATGCACTTGATACCTCCCACAGCGAGAAGTTGTTTGTGTCTTTCATGAAGAAGACTATCTAAGATAGGTTGGTTGTAGGCAGGAAGACGAGCTGATTGAATGACTAAAGGGTGGTAATAAATGATCATCACTTTGTCTTGGAGTCTGCAGGGATGCCCCTTGTGTGAGCAGACATGTCAGGTGAATGTGGTGCTATAGTACAATTGAGCTTCACAAACATGACATTTCTCTGCACTTCTCCAATCTGGAAATATAAACGGGTAGAATTGGAATAGTGGAAGCATTTTCTTGGGATTTCTGGACTGAAAGAAACACAAACATGTCACAGCCTCAGTACCTGTGCCAGGGGCCTTCATATTAGCAGTAAATCTCCCATTCCTAAATACGGAATTTGGTCACTGGATAGGAAGGCAAAGCGTACATCTTGTGTGCTCATAGCCTGGGATTTTGTGATCCATTCAAAAGTCTGGTGCTTGCTTCAGCATCATGATTTCCTACTTTGTTAGTTGCTTATAGGGAACACAATTAGAGAGCAGGATCAAGCATGCAATGCCACGGTTCTAGTAGCATGGTCTTCAGGTGTGTGTTGGCAGTCAGATATGCTTCTTTGCTTTTTGGATTCTGAGAACAAAACAGGCTATTTTGACTCTAAGTTGAGGCAGAGATGTCTCACATTGTTCTCTCTGCTGCTCTGACTTCTGATCTTCCAAGCACATCAGTGTCAAGTTGGAAACTTGGCAGCACTTTTGAATGGTTCTGAAACTATGCCTTGGTTATTTTTTTTATGTACAGGCCATGCAATAGAGTCCAGGGCTAGACATTTCTAGGAAAAAAAAAAAATTGAATTACTCTTCCAACTGACTTCTACCTGACTTTAAGAGCTATGGATTTTGGTTACTTTCTGCTTAACATGGTTGAATGTTAACTTAAATTTGTAAGATTTTGTATGATGGATGGCAAATGAAAACTTGTAGGATACATGCAGATGATACTTGATATGCTCACTTCAAAATTGTAGCTAAATTCCTGAGACTTTTATTGATTCTTCTTTAACAGAATCGTGTGGAAATAAATGATGTAGACCCTGAAGTTTTCAAGGAAATGATGAGATTCATTTACACAGGAAAAGCACCAAACCTTGAAAAAATGGCCGACAATCTGTTGGCAGCTGCAGACAAAGTAAGTAATGGACTCTGAAATTCTCAAACTTGATGTTTGCTTGTGGAATGTTCTTCTAAGAAAAAAAAAAATCTTTTCCAGATTGATATCTATTTTGATTTATTTTTCAAATGAGAAACAGATCTCATCAGAAA